AATAAATAAATAAATAAATAAATAAATTATGGTAGGAAGAGTGATGTTCCTTTGTAGAGTATGACATTACTATTTTATCTTTTGTTTTATTGGCTGTTGTGAGCTGCCTAGGATTATTGTGTATAAGCGACCATTAATTCTATAAATAAATAGATGCATTCTTTTTATATGATCACACTACTCAACATATTTCTTTCATATTGTTCAATTACTTTTGTATTAATTCCACATTTATTAAGCTAAGATATTCATTCTTGGCCCTGTCTTTTTTTTACCAATCTATCCTTTTAGCACAGACATGTCAAACACAAGGCCCGGGGGCCGGATGCAGCCCACGAAGTGGTTTCATGTGGCCCGTGAAGCCATCCTGGAAACAGTGAGGGAACGGCCCCTGCTGCTTTGGCCCTGGCCCAGGCCGGCCGGGAACCAATGTACGTGGTGGCCATCTATGCTGAAATGCATTCAGTCTTAGCTTCACAAGGCTGTCTGGAAACAGCGAGAAACCAGCCCCTGCCTCATCGGCCCCAACCCCTGGGTGCATGCTGGGGAGGTGTCACCCTTTGTGAGGAATGAAGAAATGCACCATCACCTGGAAGTGGCCAGCAAATGACTCTCACCTACTTCACATATCTGGCTTGATGGGCTCTGCCCGGGTCCCACCCCTTTCTGCCAGAGACCTTCAGATCTGTCCCACTCCTGCCCAGGCCCCTACAGGCACCCTTGATGCGAATGATGTAGAGCTGGCCACGCCCACCCAGTAGGCTACACCCACTCCAACCATGCCCACCTAGTAGGACGTACCCACCCTGGCCACACCCACCCTGCCCTCCGAGGGCAACCGCAATACTGATGCGGCCCTCAATGAAATTGAGTTTGACACCCCTGTTTTAGCACAAATAAACAGATGAAATATCGCTTGGATTTTATGTGTGTGTGTATGTATTTTCTGAACAATACTAAAGTAAATGTTTTTTATTGTCATCATCTCATTTTTTATGGATTACAACTTATAGCTCTGGGAATTTCTGGTTTTCTTTTATTTCTTTCTTTTTTATTTTAAATCAGATTGTATTATACTCAGGGCTTTTTTTCTCGGAGAAAAGGTGGCGGAACTCAAACCTGGCCACGCCCTCATCAAACCCTAGGACCGCCCCTTTAGAGAACAGGAATGCAAGTAAAATTTGGGAGGGGCTATTTCCGGTGCGGCCGGCCCGGAAAAAGGTGCCGGAACGCGGTTCCGCCGCGTTCCGGCTGAAAAAAAGCCCTGATTATACTAATTTAAAGAAAATGGATAATTTGTTATATGGTATATTAGGGACTGTAAGCCTGCTACCTATCAAAATCATTAAACATGAAGGCAAAAACTTTAGTGTTCCCAAGCTTATTGTCACATTTCACTGTATTTTTAAAATAAACAAATAGGAACATGCATGTTCCAAACAGCAGCAGGTGGGGAAAGGACCTGGCAGGCACCGTGGGGGAATCCGCTGCCCATGAGATGGCCGAAAGGCGCAGGCAGAGAGGGGAAGCTCCGGAAGACCCCCGGCGACCCCCCCCAAGCAGGGCGAGGGAAGACCCGCCGGGCAGGGAAGAGGCACCCCGAGATCAGCCACCTGCGGCTCCTTACTAGGGACACCTTTCCAGCAATCCTCCCGGCCACCACGTGCAGTACGAAGAAGGAAAGAGGTTTTTGGGCAAACTTCATGAGAAGTTTGAATTGATTGGTTGAACTTTTTTAGTCCCACTTTTTTTTTTTCAGACTGCACATGGTGGCTGAGGACAGGGAGCCACAGGAGACGGCTGAAAGAGCCGAATGCAGCTACGGAGCCGCGGGTTGCCGACCCGTGGCCTAGACTATACGATTAGCTTTATTCCAAGAATGCCTTTGGAATATGCAGACCCCATAGGTAGCCCTGACTGAAGTTAGAAAAGCAGAAGAGTACAACCCAAGGCTTTGTTTAAGAGTGTGACTGCCTGCCAAGGAAATCTGGACAGTTAAGAAGATAGTGTGCTTGCTCTTTGGTAAAAATTTATGTCATGCCATGCCAACCATAGCAACCATTTTGTAATAGCACCTACAACATCAAATGTGCCCAGTTTGGCTGGCACATTGTCATTTCTTAAACGATATAAAAACCATCTGAAAGCTTTCTTTTATACTTACTTTAGGGAAAATGACTGTAGCTCAGTTATAGAAAGCACACTTTGCATCAAAAGATCTCAGCTTCAATTTTTGTCAGCTTTAGTTCTGGATAAGAAGCCACAGAGAGCTGTTGCCAGTCAGCCCAACACAGCAGAAGGCAGCTTTCCTATGTGCTTAAATTAATCCTCTGAGTGATAAAATTTAGAAAACTGTCCTTGAAACCTGAAGGAAAGTCATATTAAAGGAAGATGCGTATTAATACATTCAGATGACAATCTGAAAACAGATAACAACACTAGTAATCCTCTCAATACTGCATGTAATACAGTATTTGGAATGACCTCGTTAAAAATTCAGTTGGGCAACATTGCAGAAAAATGTTCCATCAGTATTTACTACCTGAAAGTGTATCAAACAACTAGGAATATATGTAATTCAAGACATCAATCCAACATTGGTAGCTGAAAATAACTTGAAGTAATACAAGTTATTTGCATTACTATTTTTTAAGAAAAGTTTTATTACTGAAGTAATCCTGCAATTTTAGCCATATTTCTTTGGAAAAAAGCTAGTTCCTACCAATTAAACCATATGAACCGCAGCATTTGTCCTATTATTAAACATCTATTGGCACCTAAGACTATATTGCATCTTCAAGGTATTCTGCAAGCTAATCAAGGTTGGGGAAATATGTCTTTTGAATGCCTCAGAAGTTGCAAAAGGTTTGTACCTTGTTTTTGTTTATTCATATTATAGAAGATACATACAGTAAGATTAGATAGATAGATAGATAGATAGATAGATAGATAGATAGATAGATAGATAGATAGATAGATAGATAGATAGACAGACAGACAGACAGACAGACAGATAAAGAAAGACAGACAGATAGACAGACAGATAGACAGACAGACAGACAGACAGACAGACAGAAAGGCAGGCAGGCAGGCAGGCAGGCAGATACTTGCTGATAATTTTCAGTATTTCAAAGGCTGAGGGAATTATTAAAATGTTCCAGTTCTCAGTTGGAAACACACTCTTTTGCATTAGAGATGGGCAATTTGCATCCCAGAAACTACATTCAGCCCCACAACTTTTTTTTATGGTCCTCAGTGCTTTTCTTGACACCTATTGTTGAAAATCGGTGATCGTTGTTCTGATGCACAAAATAAAACAGATTGAAAATTAAAATCCTCTAACTTTAATGGGTTTAGGGTCAGCACCAAAGATTTGGAAGAGCTGGATTTCAAATTGTACCCCTCTATTCTATTATGACATAAGCATGCAGTACCTGTTTGGTGCAATATGAGTCAATGGGTATTTCATAGTCATTTATTATGTAAATTACCATAAAAGTAAATTATATATTTTTTTTCTGATAAGGACTGAAAGAGTTAAATTGAAGGTAGAATTCTGTAAAAAATTTGTCAACTCCAGATTATCCTAAAAGGGACAGTACATTATAACAGAGAATCAATGATCCCACTTGGCTTACACAAATCTATATATATAAAGCAAAATATTTCATTACATTTTTTACCTAGTTGGAGATACCACATACTTTAGAGCCTGGCACTAGATTCAGAACAGGACATTAAAATGTTAGAGTAGGTTAATATACAGAAAGAAAAGATACTCGCCTTCGTTTTAAAGGAAGACATGATATTGATTTGAAGCAAAATAATTCTACATAAAAATTATGCTTCCATACACTATCAATATTTTAGGTTATATGTTGGAAAGAATTCAAGTACACAAATATTTGCTTGCAATGATAGAATATATATTGCTTGGATAAAAATATTACTGAAGCTGTTCCTTTGTGCTCAATACATAAACAAGGGTTGGTGTTGACCTATAAAATTCTTTATGCCTAGTTACCTACAAGACAATTTTCTACTGAATCAGCCTATTCAGTACATTTTCTTCGGGTGTTTTTGGTTCTATGCCATTTTTATAAAGAGAATGATGGCCAGGAAGTGCTGCTTCTCTATTCCAGCTTTGGAATATTTTGGAATACTTTTCTCTTAGAATTAAGGTTTGATGCATTCCTTCTAACATTCTGGAAGCTACTGAAGATGCTGGATCTTCAGAGAGTTTATTCAAAGTCTGCTATCACCACTTCGATTTGTTGTCCTTTGAATTATATAAACTGATTCAATTGTTTAAATAATTTTACTTGGCTTTATTATGATATTGTCTTATTGCTGTTAATATAAGTTTCCTTGAATTTTATTTCATTACATGTTGGCTGTTTTACCATGAACACTTTGACTGTGGACATTTTTTGTGTTATTTCAGTAGAATGGAAACAAAACAAACGAATAAACAGTTAGTGTAGGCGTACAAAGGCTACCCTATTGTTTTCAAAAGAACAAATTCTATAGCTACTATTTCTGCAACTTTCTTAGAACTCATCAAGAGGATATGCAAGTTCATGAATGACTTAGTTCCCGTACTTTTACATATCCAAACAGATCTCTACTTGAGAGGGAATACATTTTAAGAATTAAGAGTTCCAAACAAATGTATCATAATATGATATACACTAGGTAACAGAGACTAGAGGAAAATAGTCTTGTGTAGAAACTGGATATACACTTCTCACCCAACAGTCCATTTTTTTAAAGAAGTCTGCTTTAGAGCAGTTATTCAGAAAAGACCTAACATCATTTTGAATCAATTCTTTGTTCAGTTTGCTGACTTCAGTAATTACAGTGGTAATTATATAGAAATGCCCTTGCAATACTGTGTTGAATATAGCTATTCCTCATCCTAGATTTGAAGTCACTTTGTCACTGCTAGATAAACGACATTTATCTCCAAAGATGCACACCAAAGTGCCACATTTGCTGGCAATCAGCTCTTGAAAGATGCTTTCAATAGAGTTCCCGTATTGTACAGTACATTCTGGCAGAAGTAGCACTAGCACCAATTAAGATTATTTCAATATAACCTGTGATTTCCAGTGGCAAAAACAAGAACTTGCTGACTCAGACTGATTTTGCTTGAAGCTAGAATAGTTTCATTATAAAAGGGTCATTTATTTATGCATTTACATATTAACTGTTTTTCCTGATTTTTTTTTTTTTTTTTTAAACTATTTTACACTATATCCAGGAACGCTGAATTGCCATATATTATTATTTAGTTAGAGAAACTTAGTGACATGCAATCTGGGAAACTAGAAAAGTTGGCATGTGCTTCTCATATATAAAATAAAAGTATCTGATTATGTCATGTGGTTACACTTTAATTTATTAACTGTTTATAAATAATTGTGATTAAGTTGGTTTCCAGATCTGGTTTAAAGAGAAGTATTGTTTGCTTTCTATCTGGCTACCGGGAAGAATTTACATACTAAACACTGAATATGCTTTAATTTGAAATCAGTGTTTTTCAGCATAATCCATTACACATTCAAAACAGGTTATCATTTAGAACTTTTCTCTGAATATTCCATCTAACAATTGGGAACAAAAACAGGAGAAAATGTAAGTTACTTCCAATAGCTGGAACTGAAATTAACTTCAGATTAGTTTGTATCCCTAGTTATTGCTGCAATATGGCTATAGGATTTAATAGAAATCTCTACATGAATCATTCATTTTTTCAAATATTTTAAATAGTTCAAAAAGAAAGTACAAAGATTTATTAAAATTGATATTGTCAGTGGTGTATGAATCACAAACGCTCTTGTAAAGATGTAGCCATACAAAACCGTCATTTTGATTCACAAGCATTTCATGAATCACACTTTCTTTAATTTAGATATATACATCGGTCCCCATGCCTTCCCTCTTTCTGGAAGTACTAAAAGTTCATGCTGTTGGACATTGGCAGCAAATCTGAATTCCTTGGATACTGAAGCGACTAGGGTGTGCAAATCCACTGGCAAAACATTGCTGCAGGAATCAAGGATGTGACTTATGACATCATGATTCTCTGCCTTAGAAAGAGTACATGTAGAATAAACCAGATATCCTCCAGGACGCAAAGCTTTAATTGCAGATCTGTTAAATAATAAAAGCAAAACAAAGCAAAAAAGAGTAAATATTCTATTAAATTGGATTCATCACCATACGTATTTACACTTGGAATCTTCACCTGCCAGAAAATGTGCATGGTTATGTGCATTAAGCTTAACATTTCAGTAATGACATGTGATTATTATTGCTCAGTCAATACATACAATTGAATCCATTACTAAAATGTTGGAAGGATATATTACTTTTTGCCCATAGGAGATAACTAGCTCACTGTTTTTCAAACTTTGACCAAATGTTAACCTGACAATAAATTTTGGAGAAAAGAATAAGAGATAAGAAGGGAGAAAATGCATCAGTGTAAATTATTGTTTTGTTCATGGTTTACTGAACTAGCTATAAGGAACTGGCTATTCTATTAATCCTGGTTTATAAAAAAAAACAATACCTGAGCCTCGCACCACACTAACCCAAAACTGAATGTGCAATATGAGGTCCACCTGTAAGTAATGGAAATTTAAGAATACAGGATTTAAACTACAGAAATCAACTGAACATTTCTTATTTCAGAGCAACTCTCAAGATACATGGCAATCTTATGAGGTGACTGAAGTACCACCTCACCATATTACCTGGGTTCCTTTTGGGTTAGTTCTGAATAAGTGGATAATGAGTTCTCTAAGATGTTGATTACCCACAGGCTGCATGCTTGGTTCTTTCTTTCTCTGGAAAGGGGCAGGAGAGGGGGGATTGTTCCCTCGGTTCAGAAAATTGTACCTTGTTATGGGAGGGACCACTGTTAAAATAAGGCAGTTTCATATCCTTCTGAAGATGCCCTGTTTGGAGTCAGAGGTATTGAACAATTTCCATACTTTCCCCTTGTTGAAACAATAGATTGGAATCAACTAGAGTGCCCTGGATGGAGTAGATATCTAGATATCTGTTTCAAGCCAGGAAACAGGACAGTGATACCAAGATTTAGTTTTTTCCTCATGTGTGTGGAGGGGGACAGATTATTCAGAGGGCTGAATGGTAACTGATAATATATTGAAACCCCAGGTCACACTGGAGATGCTTGAAGACTTTTAATGGTATGTAGGAATATCCTTGAAAGACAGGAAGAGGAAGAGTACGAGTCACAGCCAAGGCAATGGTCAGATAAGAGACATTTCAACGCACTGAAGAAACAGAGGTTTGGAAATCATATCAGAAGGGACCCTTCTTCGTTCTCTGGAAAGTAAAGACAAGGGGAGAGAGATGTATTTTCAGACTTGCAAGGACTTTAACCTTACAATAAAGGCAGTGTTAATATTCATGGAACTGCTTTCTCATCTGGACTATTCTAAAGGACAGTATGAGGAGGTTCAAAATAAATGGGAGAGCAGACGCAAAATAAATGTACTAAGATACAGCTATTTGTGTATATTGTTTCCTCTGTGCCAACTGTTATCTTTGGAGTTGCAACCCCATCTCTCTGCAGGAGCAGGCCTGTTCCTTAGAGGTCTTCCTGGACTTGCAGTTTTTGCTGAATTAGCAAGCAGAGGCCATGACGACGAGAGCCTTCACCAAGCTTCATCTGGATGCCAACTGAGACTTGAGGCAGAGACCCTAATTATGGTGGCTCATGCCCACATCACCTTTTATAGAGATTACTGCAATGCATTGTACATCAGGCTGCATTTAAAGACTGCCCTAAAGTTTAATTAGGTGCAAAACTTGATGGACTGAATGCTCAGTTACTACTCGGTGGGCATCTGTTTATAACTCTGCATTAATTTCCTATTAATTTCTGATACCATTGAAAGTGCAAGTCTTTACTTTTTTTTCTTCTACTTAATTGTATCCAATTCTCAAAGCCACTGCCGCATTCCTAGGGTTGAGATAAAGTGATAAAGCCCAAGGTCACCCAAGTATCTTAATGCCTAAAGCAGGACTAGAACTCACCGTCTCCCAATGTCTAGCATGGTTTCTTAATCACACTAAACTTGCTCTTGTTTCTAATCTATAAAGCAATTTATAGCTTGGCACCAGATTACCTGCTGTATTGAATCTTTTCCTTTGAGTTGGCATGACCACTTTGATTTTACCAGGAGAAGCAGCTAGTTTCACTTCTGAGACACCAGAGCCCAGATATAGAAGCTTTTCTGTCATGGTGCCAGTTCTCTGGAATAGCTTCCTGTTGACTGGTTCCAACGTTATTTGCCCTCCAGTAATAGTTAAAAACAACTTTTCTGGAATGCATTTCAAAGCTGAACCCAGGTACTGTGTTTCAGGTAATGTTTTGTATTGTATTTCTTAATTATTTATGATTACCTTAGTTTTCCTATTTTTGAGCAACCAAGAATCTCTGAATAAAATTCTGAATAATAAATTAAAAAATAAAACAGTGTTGAAAATTTTAATTAATTTTAACTGGCAAAAAGCTGTACTTTGAAAGGAAGAAATGTGTAATTATCATTTCAAATTTTCAGCAATTCTGAAAAACTCAAGACATTCACAAATTTTTCTCAAATACCATTCACTGCAAAATGCCAAAAAGTAAATACAATTTTGTGATTGGTTGCCATATTGTATTTAGGCAGTTTTATCTTTGGGTCACCTTTTCACACTTAGGTGTAAAAGGATGCAGATACATCCTACATTGGAAAAGAGAAATAATATAGCAATTCAGGTTACAAACTTCACTCTCTCAGCCCACTCCGAGTAATTACAAGTTCTGCATTCTACTAGAATGGCCAAGATTAACTCTGTCATTAATTTATCTATTCTCCATATTAAAAAAGGGGAAAAAATCAGGGCAGATAATGAGGACAGTGTGTCATACTTCAATGCTGCCATCTTGTGTTCATTAGCAAAAACTATTTTCTGAGACTGCAGAGCTGGATCTGATCAGCAGGGAAAAATCTGCTCCAAGCCAATCAAACCACAGAAATAACATTGATATTCTTCCCTATATTCCTTCTTATAAAAGAGGAATTCTGTTTCCCCCTTCCATTTGGCATCTTCACATCACAGTAATTTGATTTCGGTTTCTTCTTGTATTGTCCTGCTACTCTTCCTTACAAATTCATTGGAAGATGCAAGAAACTGTTTGTATCCACAATATACAATTTATCATGGGGCTGAGCAGTACTGAGACAATGCAAATGAAGCCCCAGAAAGCTTTGCCTATATCAAGTCTCCAGCATTTGTTTTTCTAATATCATAGGCACAACTTTTCCGTCAACTCCAGAATGATGGTAACTTCTCTTCAGCCTTGAGTGTTCCTTCAATTATGGAAGAGACTTATACAAAGACTTTTGAAACTTTTTACAATTTACAATCATAACCACATGTAGATGCAGCTGCTGGAAGACTGCCAGATATTCTAAGAGTAATTACTTAGAAGGCCTTGATACAGTAGATCCTTGCCATTGTTTTAACTGCTTTGCCTGGCATTGTAAAGAACCATTGACAAATGTTGTGCTGTAATCTCTATGGGCCCAGCCAAGCCAGGTTTCAAGGCAGCACAACGAAATAATTCAGATTAAAGTGCAATGGTAACTCATTAAAGGATAATGTTGCTTCTGCACAGCATTATATATTTTTTTGTTACACAATCACTAGTAGAGGAATATTAAGTTGAATGCTCCAACACTGGAAGTTTTTAAGAAGAGACTGGACAACCATTTGTCTGAAATGGTATAGGGATTCCTGCCTGAGCAGGGGTTGGACTAGATGACCTCCAAGGTCCCTTCCAACTTTTTATTATTATTATTATTATTATTATTATTATTATTAAAGTTATTGGATATTTAGAGCAAAATCTCTGGGTCTTGAATGCTAGAAGTCAAGCAAATTAAAATAAAGGCTGTCCAAGTAAAATTGATTAAAAAGCTATTTAAGTTTTTAAAAATGTGAATTGAAATTGATACTGCACAATTACACATTATTAAAGGGCAACTAAAAAAGATGTTTTTAAAGCTGGAGTAACAGCCTAGGTAAAAGGCAGTTCTAGCACTTCACTGGGCAATTCTATATTGATGGCCCCACTAAGAAGAAAACCTGGCCTCAGCTTGTGAAAAGAGAAAAGTTTCCGCCCCCCCCCCCTTATTTTAGCACTTCTGAAAGTTATTCTTAAATCTGGATGAACAACATAAAATACAAGGAGTTTCAGAACGGATGCAAAAGAGATGCAGTATTTTTTTTTCCAATGGAAGTATCTATTGCAGTGGTGGCGAACCTATGGCACGCGTGCCAGAGGCGGCACTCAGAGCCCTCACTTTGGGCATGCGCACCATGCCCTGAAGATGGCAACCGTCCCTCTTCAACCAGCCACCCACTAACTCGCTGAGGTCCCACATGGCCAGATGCATCCCAGCACCCAATGTGCTCGCTGGCCTCTGTGTGCAGGGGCTGATGGTGTCAGGCAGCAGCTGCCCCGGCCTCACCTTGCCCTGTAACAATGGCACCCCCGCCCTGTCTCACCTTGCCTCGCCTCACCCAGCAGGACGAGCCTCCTGCCCACCGCCCCACCTGCCAGAGACCCCGTGGATCTCCAACCCTGCCCGGCCCCCACAGGCATCCCTCCCCACGAGCAACATCGAGGTGATCACACCCACCTTGTCCACACCCACCCAATCTGCCATGACCACCACAGCCATGCCCACACAGTGAGCCACGCCACCTGGCACCCGGCAATAAATAAGTGGGTTTTGGGTTGCAGTTTGGGCACTCGGTCTCTAAAAGGTTCGCCATCACTGATCTATTGGATCAGAAGAATCGAAGTTTTTTAGTTTGTTGATAGAGGGGAAACCAGTTGGAAATACTATATTTGTTTTCAGGTGATTCATAGATATTTTATAGCAATGAGATCACCATTATAACCGAAAGACCCTGAGAGCTAATATAAATGTGGTTGGTCAATTTTAGCTGTTTGCTTTGCGTTTTCATTAATATCTTCAGTTTACCCAAAAGAGTAAAGTATGAGGGTTTTATAACATAACAGTGACATATATTGATATGTGAAATGTGCTATCAGTCCAGCA